TCTAGTGTGGGGGACGCGACACATGCTCCTGGGAACTTCTGTAGGTAGTGCTAGACCAATGATGGCGAACCTTTTGAGCTTGGCCTGTCAGCATTTTGAAAAACCCTAACTTAACTCTGGTGCCGTGTCACACATAGACATTTTTTGATGTTTGCAACCATAGTAAAACCAAGATTTATATTTCTGATATTTATTGTATATATTTAAATGCCATTTAACAAAGAAAAATCAAAACAATGAGTTCGCCTGTCACCTCTGACATACGTGTCATAGGTTCGCTATCACTGCGCAAGGGGCTTCCAACGGTTCCCGTCTCAGCAGCTGGGGTGATGGAGCATGGGGTTGGATGGAGTCCAAGACCTAGTTTCCCAAAGCCCAGTGGCTTTCAAACTGCTTCTCCTGGCCCACAGTCAGGTACACAGCATGATCCAGTACACACGTACGTGTAGGTGAAACCAAAAATTTTAAACCAATCGTTTCTCTGCCTGCACTCCACAGGCATTTTCTCCTTAAGCAACTGTTTGCAACCCTGTTCAACTGTTCGCCAGCTCCAGGGTGATCACCTGCAGTTTGAGAGGGTGTTCTACATTGTTGCCTCACCACCACCTAGATCGTTACTCCCAGCAAGGCCAGACTCATTCCTGTGCTCTCGAAACCTACTCATCTGTCCACTGCGAGTTCCAGGAAATCTGAGAGCTGGGAAGTTCTGGCCCTCCAGTAACAATGACCCCATTTAATCACAAAGAGGATGGAGCCAGGGAGGGTCTCAGTTTCAAGTCTGGGCCCTCCTCACAGATATCAGCTAGATTCTCTCTGTCCTGCAGAATGGCCTTCTGTCTGAGTCAGACTCAGCTTGAGGTTGGAACGAACTGGCAGCTTTGACTGAGAGCTCACAAAGTGTCACATTTGTGTGCGCGAACCCAGGCGCTCTCAAAAACCTAAGTGGTCCGTTTTCCTCTAGCAATGAGGAAGCCCATTAATTCTGTAAAACGTTTGAGAGCACAGGATGGGCTAGCAAGCATGGTTCTGAGTGCTGGAGGGACAGCAGTGGATGAGGTGGACAAAAACCATCCCTGCCTTTATGGAGCTTGTATGCTAGTGCAGGGAAGGCAGACAACAGGCAGCACCCACCAGTGAAAGACACAATATATCAGAAGGTAAGGGCTCTTAAATGAGGCAGCGAAGGGGAGGGAGGGTGTAACAATAGTGTAGTAGTGGGGTAAGTGTCACTGAGAAGACATTTGAATGAAACCCTGTAGATATCGGGGCAGGGCATTCCAGGCAGAGGGACCAGCATGTACAAAGGCCCTGAGGTGGGAGCATGTCCAATATCTTCAAGGAACAAAACGAGACTAGAGTGGCTGGAGCTGAGTGAGGGAGGCGGGGAGTAGGAGCCAGTAAGGTGTGAAAAGGAATGAGGGTAGACTGGGATCTGGCAGGCCACTGTGAGGACTGTGACTTTTACTGTGAGTGAGGGAGAGGCCATTGGAATTTTCAGCAGAGGAGTGACACGCGCTGACTGACATCCTAAGTCCCAGGCTGCTAGAGAGCGGACGAGAGAGATGAAGGATAGAAGCAGGGAAACTGGATAGGAGGGACGACAACATTCCAGGGAGGAAAGAATGGTGCCTTGGACCGGGCACCTCAAAAAAGTATTTCATTAAACATTTTTTTCTAAATGTTTTTGTGGATTTTAGAGATAGAGGAAGGAAGAGGGAGAGAGAAAAACATCAATGATGGAAGAGAATCATTGATTGGCTGCCTCCTACACGGCCCCTACTGGGGATGGAGCCCACAACCCAGGCATGTGCCCTGACCGGGAATTCAATGATGACTTCTTGGTTTATAGGTCGGCGCTCAACCACTGAACCACACCAGCGGGCAAGTATCACTTTTATCCCACAATTTGTTTAATCACTCACCTCTTGACAGATATTTCCATTTACAATATAGCAGCTGTGAGCATTCATATGCAAGTCTTTGTATGAACATTTCCCCCCCCCTTGTTTAAATGCCTATGCATTGTTTACAAGG